ACACACACACACACACACACACACACACACACACACACACACACACACACACACACACACACACACACACACACACACACACACCATATTTTATTGATTATCCTGTTGAGTATCATGTTATAAAAACTGAACACGCTGTAATTTATAACAAATCCTGTAATCGGTTCTGGAAGAAACAACTAATCTGTGTTGACATAAGAACTGATGAGTCATCCAGGGCTAATGATTTGCTATAAATGTGCATCTGTCATCAAATTCAAGTGGGATTCACTAATTCCCACTTGAATAACTGAGTGGACTCAAGCAGATTAGGCAATGGCATGGCAAAGGGGACAAAATGGGCATGATGGCATGTGACACATGGATCTGAGGCAAATGGGGGAAAAAAGAGACTATCTAAGTTTCCTATTTCTATCACTAGCTGTTCTGCTGTGTGTGATAGGTATTCTGCATGGAGTGCTTCCTCAGCACTTCATCTTTGCAGGAGGTGAAGCTTTTCGGGGTGTCAGCAAAATGTCTGTGAGCACAAGCTTTGTACCAGGGAGTCTGTCACATTTGTCTCTAGATAGTGGATTACTGAGTTTCACAGACATGCAGTAACTGCAATGGGCTCGCTTAGTTGCCCACTAGAGATTTTGCACATCTCCAGAGGGAAAAGGCATACTTTCACATTAGACATGCTGAGACAAAAAAAAAAAGCAGGAAAAACAGAAATGAGGGAAATCTGAAATGCAAATGAAAGGTCTTTCAAGCCATGTACTTGCATTGTGCTACTACCTGATAATGTGGATTACTAAAATTTAAGAGGTTCTGCATAAATCTCTGTTGAAAGCGACTCCTGATAAGATTTCATACTAAAAAAAAGACTTTTAAAAGAAATAGTCAGTGACTATCCTAACACTGCCAGTTAGGTTGGCTCTTTATTTACAAGTTTTAAAGAAAGAAAGAAAGCACTCAATTAATCAGTCAATCAATAGCTGATGTCCATCTTTTGCTCTGCATATAGACTGGTTACCTGCATGATATTAAAGCATATTTTCTAAAACTAATGATGACCATTTAAAGTTCTGCTTCCATGCATTTAAACTTTTATCACCAGTCTTCATCCACCAAGCAAGTTCTTTCCAAACTACTTAGTCTGAATTATGTGGCTCCTCAAAAACCCTTCTGGACACATTATCGGATAACAGTGGACCCATGAACCCAAGTTGCACTATATGGACAAAAATACTGGGCCAAATCTCTTAATCTTTGACTTCAGGTGTTTTTACTCCTATTGCCACGGGGGTATAAAATCAAGTAGATTCAGTGCGGTCTGCCGTCACATTTGTGAAGGAATGAGTCATTTAAAGAGGTCACTGAATTTGGGTGAGGTACTACAAACAGGATGCCACCATCGCAACAAGTCAGTTTGTGAAATTTCTTCCCTTGTAGAAATTCCACAGCCAACTGCACGTGGCATTTTTGCAAAGCGGAAGTGTTTAGAAACCACAGCAGGGTTAATCTTCTGGCATTAACATCAGCACAAAAGTGCACCAGGAGCTTCATGAGAAGCATTTCTATGGCAGGGCAGCTCCTTTGGGTGTAATGTGTAAGTGACCCAGTACTTTTGTCCGCATAGTCTGGATACTGGATACATAGTTTCGAAGCTGTTTTTTTTTACCTTTGCAAAGCTGAACCGCTTCTCACCCTTTGATAATCTGTAAAATGAATAAAGTAGATGCAAGAGAGAAGGTAAAAAGGTAGAAAGTTCATTCATTCAGTAAACCCATAAGGTTCAGAAGCATGAAGATTATGTTGGCTGAGTGTTAGTGATCCATCAAAGGAAAGTCTGTTGTTCCATTTTTATCTGCCGCGGAGCCTTTCTTCCTTGTCTTGCTTGGCAGTAACTCCCCCCAAACCTCCTCTGTCTCTCCTTCCCTTTTTCTTCCCCTCTGGTTCTTTCAGAACGTTTCTTGGGGTAAGCAGTACTCCTATGCCCTCTTCAAAGCCATGAGCCACATGCTGTGCATCGGTTATGGTGCCCGAGCACCCGTCAGCATGTCTGACCTTTGGGTCACCATGCTGAGTATGATTGTAGGAGCCACGTGCTACGCCATGTTTGTTGGCCATGCTACAGCTCTAATCCAATCACTGGATTCCTCACGGAGGCAGTACCAAGAGAAGGTAAGAGTCCTGCAGTGGCACACACAATATTAAATTCCTGAGATTTAAAAGAACACTGGGTATGATACATGGTATGATGTGTGCGTACACATCTTTAATGGTTTGTTGTTTAAAGGTAAGTTAAGCTAAGTACTACTGAGATGGTCTCAAAGTATTAATGTGATTTTTTTCTTTTTTTGTGACTCTGTAAAGTCCTGCTCATTGGAGCTGGATTTAAATAAATTAGGCCTCAATTACACTGTGGACCAATAGGTTGAGCTCCCACAATATAAATATAAATATATCCGCAGCGATGACTAGGAAAGAGGATTTCCTACCTACCCCCAAGCAGATCTCTTAAGGTCAACAGGGTGATGAGGTCTATGACATAAGCAGCCACCTCACTGTCTGTATGCTGCCAGTGGACACATTTTATTTTTCCCTTTTCCTTCAGTTCCTATTACATCATTATATCTTTCTTTTTTTTTTCACGTGGAGGATGATTATCCAGCATTTCAACTGAGCCACCATCTGTGATCCCGCTGTGGGGCCTGGGCAATTCCCAGAACACCCAGCCATGACTGATGCGCTTTGTGTTTGCACGCAAGAAGCAGAGTTTAACTCCCAAACTTTGCCTGTGCTTATGCTGCAGAACGCATTGTACATACCACACTGTTGGGCGTGGGGATTAGTCCTCTATGGTATGTCTTCATCCACAAACAAGTTTAGGATTAAGATAACTTAATCTTTAACTTACAGGATGATGTAAGAACAGTTACATCAGGTCACACTGATTTTGTAAGACACTCCTTTTCTTCCCAAAGGAAATAGTTTTTTTTCCCAAATATGATATAAAGACAGTGAGTCAGCTGAAATGCGATTAACAGAAAGCGCTAATTATCTTGTCTTAGTACATTCTTATTTACTATGACATGCTGTGTGTGTGAGAGCTGAAACAATTACTCAGAAATTAAGTCTTTAACAGTGTTTAATGCAGGTTTTATTCTTCAAGCCATTTTTCACCCAGTAATGGAGTCTAATTCCTGCATTTCAGTATATTTTTTATTTTAAGCATTTGCTACTTTTCCGTGTCAAGTGATATCAGAAGTGGCAATAGTTAAATAACTAAAGACAATAAATCTTCATATACAAGTTGTTCAGTTTGTTATTTAAGACAATTTTTCAGTATTTGTCTATGATTTCAGAAAAATTATTTAGATATTATTTAAATAGAAAGCAATTAAACAGATTAATTTAGAATATAAGAAATAAAACTGATGTTTTCCCTTTAAGTTTTCATCATTTTTTAAAATTATATTATGAAAATGGGTTATAATGGGTCAGGAAGTTAAAATTATTATTACCAATTACTTTGATTTTTCCCGCCATGTAATTATTCATCTTTTAATAATCTATAAAAAATTTCATGTGGTTTAACAGCACACTTTTTGACTTCCTGAATGTTGATCATATCCATCCACTAAGCGAGCCCTCCAGCAGCTTGCATCCCTATTGAGTTTATCAGAACATATCCACACAAACGCACACACAGAGGCACGACTGGACAGAGGTACAAAGCACACATTATTTATCCTTCCAGAGATGTAGTCATAATTCTTATCAGAGCATTGGTAAAGTCACCTTGGCTATTACAGGACGTGCTAAAATACCTCTTCGTTAATTTACATCTTGCTTATAAAATCATTTAGCCATTGTCGGTTTATTCAAGTGTGATGGCCCGACCTTGCCAGCTGTCCTCATGGTCAGTCCAATCTAGAGGAACATCCCCCTCGGTGCGTTTTGGCACCACATTGCAATCTTACATGTCACCTAAAACTTGAAATTAAAACTGCAGTTTCTATTGTCTTTGCAAAAGTGTTATCACAAATCCGCACAAATTAGTAAAATGCACATTTATCATTATCAATACAAAAGTGTTGTTTGACACATAAATCAGATCAGATGAAACAGATTCGAAGAACAAGACAGCAAATAAAAGGGCTATAATAAAAAAAATTAATGGAATGCTGACTGATCATTAATATGCAGATATAATTATGAGTTATATTCACAGCATAGCAAAAAAAATTTTTTAAAATCATAACGGCAGGTTGCCCTCAGCAAACAAGCGAGCCGTGCCAAGTCACTGTTTGAATTAGTGGCACATCTCCAGCTCAGTTGCTCCAAAGCAGATGTACATCACACACTATTTTTAATCTACATCCCTTTCTGTCCCTCTAACGTCACCCCAGGAATCGAACTGACAGCTTCGGGGCCGCGAATGCCATGTTCATGGTAACGGAGCTCCAGTGTGGAGCCAGGTTCAGCAGGGGCTGATTTGCTGCATGGCTGTGCATATCAGTGGAGCAGGCTGCAGAGCAGCAGGGATGGGTTCAGGGTGCTGAGCCTCTAGCCATTACATCTATCACTGCCACAGCTGGAGGGTTGGAAACATGGATGGAGAGATGGATGGGGATGCGAGGTTATAAGTTATCTGAGGCCGGAGGATGTTTATGACAAGAACACGATGAGCAGTAAGAAAGTAAAGTGATTGTTGTTGATAGGTTCTACTTAATTTCCAAAAACTCAAAAACTAATTTTATCCAGACTAGGAGAAAAGAAAAAACAGACCAAGCAAAAGCTATAGAGAAGAGAGGAAACAGAGATAGTGGGAGGAGAGGGAAGGAAATGAGGGTTTAAAGTATGTATGATATAGAGACATGTCTGCTGTCAAGCCCTGGTGCTGCCACAGTGCAGCTGAGTTGCTCTTTAAGATATGTCCAAGATGTCCCACATTTCATATTTCGGTCTGAGGTTCATTGCAAAGCTAATGTAACTACCTCCCTCCTCTGAAATATTGCAAAGATAATTAAATAGTTTCAAAACAAGTTTCTGAAACATAAATGATTCTGTAAAGGAATACTGTGACCGTGCAACCATCAGATGTCAAACACAGCGTCTTGCAATTACATTTATGTCATGCAAGCACTACAAATGGGGTTGCAATTAAATGCATCGTCCTCTGCGTGACACAGACGGGTATCAGATCAATTCCTGCTCAATAAAAGAAGTGTTGAGCACATACAAAGTGGATGAAGCATTTCAAGTCTTTGCACTAATTGCCTGCCCTCTTTAAACTGTCCTTCACGTCTTAGGACACATTCTGCAACAGAGGAGGTTTCATCATTTTACATAATGCTGCTAAACATATATTTATGGGTGATGTTTAACTTTGCAAATTGCAGTGCGCCTGGGTTAAATTAGATCCACAGGAATGCCCCAGGAGTGCCATCAGCCAGGAAAGAAGTGGGTTCTGCCAAGTGGCACATCCCAGTGTGGGTGTTAGTCTGACTGGGCCCTGACTATTTCTAGAGAGAGAGCGAGAGTGAGAGAGAGGGGGGATAAAGAGAGAAATGGATGAGGTGGGATAATGAGGAATGTAGTCAGCATTTATCTAAATTGCTCCTTTAGAAAGTAATTAACCAATAAAATTACACATCTGAATTAATATGAGAATGGAAATTAGTCATAATGAAAAGATAATGTGACGTTAAAGCTGAAGGCCCCATATCGAGCCTAAAATGTGCCCCCATTGCCTTACTCTGTGCCCCACCCTGACCACCCGAGTCGAAATGGACCGGTTGAGCCCCTGCAGACACCTTCTGACTTCGGCTGTGTGAACTCAAAATAAATCAATTTCCCGCAAACAAAGCTCTGGTCCCTTATCACCTTTCTGCAGCCGGGTGAGAAATCAATGAGGGAGGCACTGGGACTCGAGTGGCTCCTCTCGCTAACAAATATCGTTTTATGGGGCTGCCTGCGTCACATTGGTCAAAGCCTCTGAAACTGAACTGTCCTACCAGCCTCGCAGCTGCTGCTGGCTCTCACCTCTATTCTCTTTGTTGAGGTTCATTTTCAGGTGTTGGGGCTTTGGCCGTGCTCGCCGACTACTCTAAATAAATGAGCCAAAGTTTTTTCTGTGTTCTTGTGGGTCAGTACTTGCCTGCAGGATAATGCAGCTGGACGTTACACTCCTGCTAATTTTTAGTTAATTACTGGAAACAGGATGTAGAAACGGGATCTTTTATCTTAGTTAGCCAGAAAAACAGAGATGGCAAGTGTACAGACTCCCTCCTCGCTCCTTTTTAATGTCACACATTATACTTTTTTAAAAAAGAAATTATACTTTTTACAATTCGTAGCATCTCAAAAGGATTTATTCACTGTATATCCAGCTAAATCTAAGGATTGAAATATATTCTTATTTGTCAGAACTGTATTTAAAGTGCAGACAGTTCTCTTCTCAGTTATTAAACAACCCAAAAACCAATGCAAATTATTTGAAAATTATTATTTTAACATTATTTGCATATTAATGTGATAGTCGGTGAAAATTAAGTTGATTGTAATGATGAAACTTGAGCAGTTTAAGGTGCTCAAAAATGACATTTTAATGTAAACAAGAAAAAACAAAGACAGGAAAGGAAAGAGGATAGCAATAAATCACAACACCTGTCACCTCACGATGCTCTGTATTATAAGGTAAAGACCCTATGATGATATATAACGCGGTCAAAAGGAGAATTCTTCTTTGAAAATTACCCAATATCCTCTTATGCTCCTAGATACTAGGTATGCCTCGCTTGTTCACATTGCAGCATAGCTCGGTTGCCTATTAGCACTGGGCTTCCTGCATCGGTGAGATAATCTGCTGCTACCTTGGTCTGACATAGCCCCGGGCCTGTACTCGTTCCTACTTTCTTCACCACCTGCCTCTCTTGTTCTGCCTCTCCCTCCCCACACGCAGAACCAGGACATGGCACTGTGACTGTGTGAGAGCACGCCTTGTCCTCAATACAGAGACACAAATATGCACTCTGTGTAGACCACATTTTTGTTGCTTTGCTGTTTATTAAAGGTGCGATTTCCAAATAAATATAAAACTCAAGACTTTACTGGGGCTGCTTTAAGATATCTGATTTTTTTTTTTTACATGTTAAGCTGTTAAGTGATGACTGTTTTTCTTTGTCTCTTCTAGTATAAGCAAGTGGAGCAATACATGTCCTTCCACAAGCTTCCAGCAGACATGAGACAGAAAATCCATGACTACTATGAGCACCGCTACCAAGGGAAAATCTTTGATGAGGAAAACATCCTGAGTGAACTCAACGACCCCCTCAAAGAGGTGACACAACATTTTAGAAGCTCTCTTCTTGAGTAACATTTAGAAATCTGCAGATCTTTCCTTTCGAACGCTCTGATTTTATTTTTGGAACCTTAATAAAAAAAATAGACACTGAAAGGTAGGTGTCACAATGTCTTAGTTTTGGAACATAAGTTAGATCTATTTTTCTTTTTTTCTGAACATAAGCAGTGAATCTTTATTTGGGTGCAGCACATTAAACTGAAACACCTGTCATCTCATCTTACAAGGTCAGGAAGAAAAAGAGCAAAACGGAGTCTCCCCAGGTGAAACTTGACTGGCTGAAAGTCAAAATAGGAAAACATTTCCTACAGAAGCACCTCCTGTGCCTTTCTTTCACTTGTGATAAACTCCAAGAGCTTGTGATTTACAGAGCTGTTAAACAACTGCCACAGAGGTAATGAGACAGAGCAATAAAGGTTACTGTGACGTCAAGCACCAGTTTTGGTCCTTGGACGACCTCCCCCATAAGCACATTACATGTGTAATTATGCAAAGGGATATTAGGGAGCAGCGGAGTAAGAAGTGAATGTAGGATAAATGTAGTGTAGGAATCCTGACCAGCTCTCATAAAGCCCCATTAAGTCACCTTGCAAAGTTATATGCTCAAGAGATGAATGCTACGGTGTGCAGAGTTACTGCATAGTCCCAAGCACTTACAAGAAAGGTGCAGGGATTTAAAGGGACAGTAAAACACGGGCTTAGTTCAATATGTGCACTAAGCAAAGGTTAAATCCAGCTTAAACTGAGAGAGATCGATAATAGCAAACATGGTCACATCAGAGCAATTTCAGTAAGTCTTACATTTTGTTGTAATTTTATGTACAGTGTTAAAAAAAATAGTTAGACCACCTGTTATACAATCAAGAAATAATACACATATATCTTAGAAAAATATTAAAATATTTGAGAAATCTGCCAAAATTCACATTTTTATGCCTAGATTGAGTACAGATTCTTCATCATCAAAAACCATGAAGCAATTATTTTGAACAAGGTTTATTTCTTTAATTAATGAATTATTAATTGGTATAAACTGAATGAGTACCAGTCGAGTAAATTTAATTTAACCAGATAGAATAAATTATTTTTAGCTTTTGTTTGACAAAATGTAACATTTAGTGTTGTACTATATAACAAACTATGTGGAAAAATTTTTGTACATATTTAAACTTCTTTCTGTAATTAATCAGTTATAACACTGAATCACCTAAACTCATTTTCCTGTTCAGGAATGTAAGTAAATGATTGTAATTTGGCATCTCAAAAATAATAAAGGGCTTTACTACTTTTTTTTTAATCTTTTTTTGTGAAACATTATATATTACAATTTCAAATAAATAGCTGCATCTACTGGTTGATGAACCATTACAGAAGCTAACAAAATGATATGTGTGATTACTAGTACTGTTCATTTAAGGCACTCATGGCATATGCCTCAATCTGAGTGTCGGTCTAATAAATTTGATAATTACTGGAGATTTTTTAATATGAAAACCTAATTAGACACCAAAACTTGACTAAGCTTTATTACATTACAAGACAGTGTCCGTCTGATTCGTCATCTGTAATGTGGCAGCTTTGACTTAGTGTCAGCTGACTGCACTTCTGTTCTAATCAGTCTATCCAACAACTGAGGCGCCGTGGTTTCCCCCATGTCAGGTGTGCAGCCTGTTTCCTCTCTGTTTCTAAAAGTATGCTCTTTATTTGATCTCCCATCACCAAAGTAGGTCACTTTACTGCTGGTAGAGTAATATAACCCTTTATTACTTTAATAGACACTTAAACAAATACCACGCTATAAGAAAAACAATAATTAAGTTTACCTACATCTTTATCACAATAACGACTAGGTCTGCTGGGCACCGCACAGTTTAAGCTGTTGTGCACCTCATCTGTGTGCATTTGTCAGAGCAACAGTACAATTATGTTTTCCTGTTCAGCTGTAATAAACCAGATGATTAAGTATTTTGTGGGAGGGAGCAAACTTCTCCCATAGATTTCCATTCCACTGAGTGCTCTGATGAACTGCTGAAGGCCACTACATTGGCATGCTTGGATGACGTAAAAACTGGTGAAATAATCGGAATGACTTAGTTTGATTAATCTCTTTCTGTGAGCTGTTTTTTTTAGCCGAAAGTACCTGAATGTCCCTTTCACTCAGGATCTTCTGACCAGCAGATTATAGCTCTTACTAAGTTTGGGGTTTTTTGTTTGTCTCTTTTTTCTCAGCATATTTTGAATAAATTTACAGTCTAAAAATAGAAAGGTCTAGTCATATCAACTATTGTCCTGTTTGTCATTGTGGTATGACCACTGCCTTCTTGTGTTTAAAATAGGGTATAGTATATTTTACCCAGAGTGAACAGCTCGGTAGGAGATTGGGTAAATTGCTGAGGTTAAATTTGGGGAGATAAAGAGCAACAATGTAGAGCTTTTCCACAGCTCATTTAACGAAAATCAATTAATGTGGCTGTAAACCTGACCATCATCAGTAAAGCCAGGACACTTTCAGACAGACTGAAACCTAAGTGGTTCTGATTGTATGGACAATCTGTGGGGTCCTGACTTAGAGGTCAATTTGGGAACTGAATTAGCTCCACTTCGCACCACTCAGGCTAGGTAAGAATGCCGAATCAGTTAAAGCATACTTATAACTGATTGTGGCAAGCCAGTTATCACAAGTCTGCAAAACAATTATGCTGCTACTGCTGCTGTAGGTTTAAACGATCTCCAGATTTTGTACGGACTTCACTTGGGTTACAAAACCAAAAGATGTATATCCTATGTAAGATGATTCCACCACTATATACATTTTTACATTTATGTCAGAATATTTCTACATCTGCAGAGCTTTTCCAAATTTCCCTGCTGGTTTTAACTTATTCATTTGGTGAACTGTAAAGATCATCCTAAGACAGGCGATCCATCAACATATTGAGCAGTTTGTTGCCACGGGCAGACTTCACTTTAAAGAAAAAAACGTGTTGCATTCAAGGACACTGCAACATCCAATAATTGATTGTGAGCTCCTAAAAACAGTATTACATTGATTATCTCTGGTAGCTGACAACCTGATGTACAATGTAGACGAGCAAAGATGAACACGAAGGAAAACAAGGACAAAGTAACCTTGACAAAAATAATATTAAAAGAAGAAGAAAAAACACGTTGTGATCAACGTTTTTCTAAGGTGACTTTCAGACTGTTGTAAAACAAGAACATCTGAAGCATGTATAGGGATTCAATACAGTTGAACTAGATGAAGTTTGAAGCTAATCGGCTAAAATATGCTAAACCAGAGTCCACACAGCCTAATAGCCAGACTGTTTTGCTGCTCTGTCTCTCCCCCCTGCTCCCTTCCTCGCCTCTGTCTCACTGCCTTTTATTCTCTGCCATATGACAAATCTTTAAATAGGCATAGCCAAACATTGTTTTCCCAGGAGGAATCCTGACTGTGCATGAAAAGTGCTTACTATCGTATTCATTAGTTCTGGTGCTTGATTGAGGTCGGAGCCGTGGCTTTACCTGACACCGGCTTCTGAAGCTTAGCTAACATATTTTTTGCCCTCGTGGAGCCAGCAAGCATTTCAGAGATTGGTTATCTTTCTGTTAATGTCCTGTTGTCAGTGGAGGGGAGTTATCCCTCATGTGGGGTCAACAACACATCGCTGCAGATGCCAAGTGCCCCAGCTTTCCATCTGCACAGCAACAGAGATGTGTGGGTAAACAGACAACAAGCTCCTAATCTGCTGCTGGGTCTGAGGGGACAGGATGGGCCAGAGAGATGGCCTGCAGCCGGCACCAGAGGGCAAACTCATCAGGATATGAATTGCGTGCCAAAAAGTTTCTTCGCAGGAGAAATGGAAAGTGCTTTAGGAGCATTAGGGATAAAGCAGCAATATGCATTCCAATTCATTTATGTTTGCAGATACTGTGAAGGCGGCAGAGATGAAAGATTTGAGGTGGTGTTCTGTGTCACGCTGCCGAACTGAAGCTCATTTTTCACTTTTGGGTTGAAATAACTGAATTATTGGCATTATTATATGGCATGATCTCATCTGTTAAATCAACACTTTTCTCTTTTCTTTTTTTCCCCCCTCCACCAGGAAATTGTCAACTTCAACTGCCGCAAGCTTGTGGCCACCATGCCTCTGTTTGCCAATGCGGACCCCAACTTTGTGACGGGGATGCTGAGCAAGTTGAAGTTTGAAGTTTTCCAGCCCAACGATTACATTATCAGGGAAGGCACAGTGGGGAAGAAGATGTACTTTATTCAACATGGCGTTGCAAGTGTCATCACCAAGTTCAACAAGGAGATGAAGCTGACTGATGGATCCTATTTTGGAGGTAAGAAATGTAACTATAAACACTGGAAATTGAACTTCAGTTGCTTATTTTGATTTGTTTTCACATTAAAATCCAAATGTTAGCTACATATTCCACTGTGCTTCTTACATCAATGCACACTGTGTTCTTAGAGTTATACCATATATACGAGACTAGCCTGAGGCCTTTAATGCTTTTTGAAGTTAAGTTATTGTAAATGTAGATTCTCATTAACCACTGTTGGATGTTAGTCAGCTTTTGCTGTTACGTAACCTCTCATCTGGTTGCTGGAGTGGGCCAAGGCGTGGATCAGGCATCCCTTAGGACACACAGAGGTCCCTCCCTCATCCTCACACACACACACACACACACACACTTGGCACGGTGTAAAACAAGGAGCAGTTTCCCAGTTCTGTCCTCTGCTGTGCTCTGCTTCTTCCTCTCTCTTTCTCTCGGCACGGTTCCCACTCCCCATCCAAAGCGTTCCAGATATCATTAATTTTTTAAATGTCAAATGTAATTTCATTGCACTTTGTTTACTCCGACAAAATCCGCAGGCAGACATTGTCGTATCTCTGAGAAAGCAAAGCAAAGTTTCCTATTTTAGAGGTTCTTGCATATTTTATCTCCTGAGTTCATCCCCACTATGGAAGGAGGCTGACGAGTCTAAGAATACCTTCACTTTGGTGTGTCTGTTCCATGCAGTTCACGTCTCAGAGGCGAGCCATGGAACGAAGCGAATCAAAAAAAAAAGAAAAGAAAAGAAAGAAATGCATCGACTTTTTTTTCCTCCCCTTGCTTGTTCAAAACACAGGAGTACTGACATACACTCTTTCATCAGTTAGCAAAGATACCTGCTTCAGATATGTAGTTTCACATATGGGTGGCTTTAAACTCTGCATTAAGTAATGTAGTGATTTGCTGGAAGTGCATATGTGTCGTATTCAGGCTTTGTATCCTCTGAGGCTGTAACTCAGAGACATTTTGCTCAGTGACACAGAGCAAGCAGATCATGTTTATGAAACGAAGGTGAAATGTCAGGATAACGCCTTTGGCCAACTAGGCTCTAATAAAAGGATGTTAATAGGATGTATTTTTTTTTCTACACCCTAGAGCCTAGCGTTGTGCTACAGTCAGCACAAACACCTAAGAAAATATTAATTTTCAAAAAAGAAAAAACATTAATTGAAAATTAAGAAAACAAATTAGGAAGCTGGAAACAGATTGTGATTAGCATTTTTAATTAATGATAATTCTACATAGTTGTGTGAGTAACCATTTGAGCTTTCGCCTAAAGTACAATAGAAATAAGTAGCAAATAGCAAACTGTTCAGTCAGTATTAAGATGAAGCAGTTCTTATGAAGACTGACCTCGTACGATCATCAGATTGCCCACCCCCAAGTTTAGTTAGTATTTCAAAAAGATGGAGGGTTCACAGTGAACGATCAGCATCTAATATAAGCCTAATTATAAAAATGAAAATATTAATAAAGAAAATACACTAACATTTAATGAGTCATGTAATAAATTAAATTAGGGATGCACTGTAAATTGTTCACCCAATAAAAAGGGGTGAACAGCCCCACCAGAGCTGCTGCCTTCTGCCCTGTTGGTATTTTTATTTCGTATTTGTTTGGCATTAGCCTTGCGTTGGGAGCAGCTGGCTATGCCCGGCATCTCACTCTACCCCCTTTTTCTCAGATGATTTACACTCCCCTTACAACCAGGCCAGATCGTGGCCAGAATGAAAAATCAGCGAGGGGGACTGAGACAGCTTCAGAGATGGAGAGAGCGAGTTACAAAACTGAGCCCAGACACAAGAAACTATTACCATAGTAATGAGTAGGACATCTTTGAGAACAGTAGGTCACAAAGCACCTCTGACAATGGTCAGTGACTCACCTGCATGCTAAAGAGATATCATAGTAATCACAGGTGAGCGTGGTGAATGAG